GCGCTCGCCAACGTCTCGCTAGTTGCCTCCTTCAATTGTTTTTTCGCTTTAAATAATTAAATTAAAAATGGACAGTCGTCGAACTGATTGTAGCTCTGCTCACAGCTGTGCCTCTTGTGTTTCTCTCTCTTTCTTTCTCTCCTTATGTCCGACACGTTGCAATTAAGGCTACTCTTGGCCATAAATTGATATACGCTAGCTGTGCTTAGCGCGTGCATTGAACTTATATACCCTAGAAAGAGAGTATCCTAAACAAAAGCAGTAGTAGATATCGACGAGTGCATAAAGACATGTCGACATAGTCATGTTCATCTCAGAGATTATATATATTGGAAAGATTGATTATATGGTATACCATACTGAAAACAAATTCTACTTTAGTTTGTCAATAAGGTCTACGATTTGCGTTCACAGCCAGATGTAGAGGTTTGCACTTATTTTGAGTATAAAATACTCAATTATTTTCTAACCAGTTCTAAAAAATATGTCTATTTGTACTTACATTAAAAAAAAACTTATATTTAGCTTTTTCAGGATTAGAAAAAAGTTTCTGCAAATAGAAATATCGTTGTTGGTCTTGGAGTTTTGACCTCAGCCAGTTAACGTCAAAGTTTGCACTTGATTTAAGTAAAAAAGCTCGACTATTTCTCCTAGTGTACTAATATATTTATTTATTTTTGGCTTAGGTATCCACAAGTCAGTCACTCTCAGGCTAGAGCTAAAATATTTTCTGCTGCTGTTGCCCATAAATCATTGACTGCTTATCGCAAAGTTCTGTGCTAAAAAAAAGTGCTTGGCCTAACTTGTGATCAGCTTCTTGCAACAGCCCCCATCCCACACCTGCCACTGCTACGTGGCTTGTGTGTAACTTGTATTTTTTTTTTTTTTTGCTGTGCAAGCTGCACTCTGCAGCTCTATAACTCTGACAGATTCTATCTGCCACAGATAGAGCTACATGCAGACGTGTGGCTGTAACACGTACTAACTCCACCCCTCGCTCCGGCAACCTCTCCCCCACCGCCCACTTGCTTGGCAGCATCAATTTATGACCAGCGTCAGTTTCTAATAAAATGTCAGCGCCTGATTTTTTTCTTTTCCTAAGTTTTTTTTTTTTTTGGTTTCTGCATTTGGTTTTATTTGGTTTCTGATTTCCTCCCCTCGCCAATCTCGTTTACTCGCGGCTTTCGTGTCAATGTGCCACACAGTAAAATGCACTTTGTTGGATATCATTTGTTCACACTCTCATAGTTGTTACTGTACATATATACATAGATAGATAGCTGCATTTCCATAGTTATCTCTCGGTTTTGGGCCTTATTGGTTTTTGTCAGACACCATTTGCACACATCGCATCGCATCGCATCGTGTCTGACTTTTGATTTGTTAGTTTGGTTGACATGAAATTGCATACACTGTGACAAATGACAATTCACAATTGCCGGTTGTCTGTTGTCAGCCAATGGCGCCACCTTTAATTTGATATGTTTACGACTAGTGTCTATTATACGATTGTGTTTAAATTTACAGATGCATAAGTATATCAAGAGCCACCTTTGACAATTTTATTATAAACCTTGAGACGGTTTTATAATTGTGTCGTCAAGTTTGTAACGCATTTAAGGAGACATCTGTGAGCCCATAAAGCATATATATTCTTGATCAATCTCACTAGCCGAGGGATTCTTAATTCAAATTATATATGTTGACAGTTTGAAAGCAGTCTACAAGGGTATATAATCTTCGTCATGCCTAAAATAGTTGTTTATTATATTTCACTTTAATAATAGCCCTATATATATATATATATATTATTGATGATCATCAATCAGCAACTCGATATAGCTTTGCACATTTATCTGTCGGCATTTATAGAATAAAACCTCTTCAATTTCCAAGAAACTTGGCATAAGACAGCGATCGGCGAATGAAGAACTGGGCAACGCATTACAATGAAATGATTCATTTATCCATTAGATGTTGCATTGAAAGATCTGTTCTATATATTTAATTATATACAACAATGCCAATTCCATGAGTCAGTTCTCGCCCTATTCTTTGACTGTTCCGCGCTATCAATCAGAGGCCTTTTATGTAATCTAATTGAAGCAGTGTGCGGAGCGAGCTTCTACATCTGCTTGTTCAGTGTTCTTTAAAGTATTTACTCCCCTATTGCATACCGCCCCTTAACCCTCCCCTTCCCTACCCCACCCACATGTTGTATTGCAAAACGATTGCGGGGCATTTGTTGTTCGATTTAATGCCCAGTGTTTCCAATGTTTACATGACGTCGCTGCTGATGCTGCCGCAAGCCTCATGCCTCATGCCTCGTGCCTCATGCCTCGCACTCTGTTGTTTGCACTGATTTCCATACATAAAAAAAGAGAAAAAAACGAGCCCGCAAATAAATCAACACGCAAATTAATAGAGTGGAAAAATCGGCAAAGACCAAGGACATGGCATAAATAAAAAAATTAAAAATGATGGCCATAAAATGTAATAAATGAAAAAATAAAAAATAACAGAAAAAATAGAATACAACCGATGTGAGCCATGCAAAATGTAATTAACTTTAATCACCCAACCAGGCCACAGAGCGAGAAGCGACCAAGAATCAACTCTTCCTGTGCAATGCTTCAGAGTTGATGCTACCCAGAAGAACGCCACTTGCATATTTAATTCATATGACAGCAAAGATGCGAAATGAATGAGAGAGGTAGGGGAGTCGGGAGTGGGGAGTGGGACATGGGGCATGGATAGGGAGTAGATGATGACCGTTTGTCTTTCTGGCTGTCTGCACATTTTCGCATTTAATAGGCGCCCATGTGAACTGGTAATGAAAACAACAAAGCCCGAGGAGGCTTCCAAGTGCTCCAAGAACGAATAGCAACAACAACAACAATAATAAAAGCAACTGCCACTCGTAGATTAACAAGGCAAAAGCAAAGACACTCGACTCGCGTCGACTCAACTCGAGTCGACTCGTTTCAGCTGCTGGACCGCTGCCAGCTCCCAAATATGAACAGTAGCAGCATATACAACAGAGAACATAGAACAGAGCAGAGAGAAGATGAAGAAGACGAGAAACCGAATTGCCGCCTAGCGCTAAATTCAGGCAATTTTATGGCAGACGGGCAACATTTTGACGTTGAATGTGCCACTGGAAGATGCATGGGTCTGGTCCATACGGGTCGGGCCAAACAGCCAGTCAGCCAGCAGTCACCAGCTATATGGCTATAGCTATACACAGTAAACAAAAATCCATGCTAAAATTCTAGGTGCTCGAACATAAACATTCCAAGATGGAAAAAATTCCAACAAAAAATTCAAGTTATAAAAATATATTTATCGATTGAGTATATTAGCTTTAAACCTATTTAATGCATTGAGGAAAAAAATACAAATTTAATGAAATTCTCCTCGAAGTTTGCAGACATAAAATCTGAAAATAGTTTAATATTTTTATTTATTTATTTTATTAAATTCAGAACTATTAATTATTGTGCTTGTTACAAATCCCCTTGTGAAAATTAAGACACAAATGGAAAGGAAAATTATAAGTATATAAATGTAATTTATATAATTAATGAATTGTTAACAACATTAATTAGTTAAGTTAATTGCTTTATTTATGTGCCTTTTCGTTGTTATGTTGACGAGGGGCCTTCAACATTAAGAAATGTACTTGGGTATAATTAACAGCAAACCCATTTTTTTGTAGTGTGTAGCTACGGCGACAAATACAGATACAGCGACAGCAACAGATATAGATACTTTTGCTCAGTTTGGTGTGTTTTCAAGTGTGGCACGCAGACAGGGCTCCATGTTGCACTTGACAGTGAGCACATGCCGAATCCAGGGGCAGCAGCAACATGAATTTTGCATTTTGCCTGCCAGCCCGCCTGAGCACCTCCTCCCTCCAAAAAATGTGAAATTCAATTAAGCATGCTCAGGTGCATTTTGGCCATTTGTGCCGGAAGCTGTCAACAGATGCGGAAATGACAAATTATCTGTGCACAAATTATTTTTTCTTCATTAAAAGATGATTATTATGATTATATATTTTTATTTTTTGGGAGGCGTCATCATGTCTGGCAACTTGTTCAATGTCTGGACATAATTCAGATGACTTATGTGTTATTGTTGGCCATTTAAGTTCATGGCCAAATATAGAATTTTCCAGTCGATACCATCTGCATTACTCATCATCATGCCACATGGCCAGACCATATCAGATGGAATGCATCAAACCCCAGCAATAAATCAGTTCACTTCGATTCGCAATTGCGACAACAAAGACAAAAGATTTCTCTACAATTGCAGTATTTGCAACGTAAATAATTGAAACACACTCAATGTCAATAAACAAAGCCCCTAAAATAAACATTAAATGACTAAGCAGCTGCAAACCATAAAACACAACATTGCAAAAAGAACAGCTTGTGAAAATATTCAATCACTTCTGCAAAATGCAATCAGTGTATTTTATTAATGCCAATAAAGCTGAGCAAATCTATTTAACTAATGCACTATAATAGCATTTTTATTGTAATTATTGTTAGATTGTGTGCTTGGATAAATGAGCTAAACTCTTGGCCCGTCATAAAAGCAATGATTGTACTTGGTTTGAGAATTCTAATTTCTCTAGAGGCGAATCTCAGTTGGCTTATTATCGTGCAATCTTTCATAATGTGCAGTCTTTTAAGACAATTTTTAGGAAGCCTGTTATTATCCAAAGACAGGGTTTTTTACTCATATTCAGACAATGATGTCCTTCCTTCCTGGCAAGAACGTTAGCGATTTTATTCGCCGGATAGCGCAGTAAATAGATAATCTATTGGACTTCGCTAGTATATGAAGGAACACTAAACATTGCCATACCATTTTCAAGACATTTATTATACACATACATATAATTTGACTAGACTATATAGATCTATATTCACGATTGCATATCAATAAAATCTTACGAACTCTCACTACAATCTGTTAATTTTTTACAGCTGAAAGCGACCTGCTCACCTTTGCACAACGTAAGGAGCATTACGAGTCGGATAAGTCATTCCAGAAGGAGCTCTTCTCGAGCGAATCGCGACCCCAAAGCGTCCATCAGCTGTACAAGGCGGCGGGCAAGGTGGTTCAGTTGATGCCCACAACGCCACCACGTTCCATTTCCTTCAACGGCGATGCGATACATATGCACGAGGATGTCCTGGACGGCACTGCCACAGCCACAGATGCGGAGGATTCGCTACTCTGCTCCGACTTGGACTTCGGCAACGCAAATCGAAGGCTGCGCACGCGCATCGATGTCGAGATTGAAATACGATTGGTGAGTGCTTATAACTCTGCGATAATGCTAACTTTAGACTAGATTTGGTTACTATATAAAGATATTTTCTTGTATTATAAGGATCACCTTAACAAATAGTTATCAGCTTCGAATTCCGATTTTTTATGGCAATTCCCATCTCCACTAGTATTTCTACTTGATATGTGGAGTTTGTCGGAGAGTTGGTGCTTCATGCTACATGCCTCATGCATAAATAATAATTTGCCCAAACTCGAAGTCGACAGCGAGCCCGAGACCCATGTGTGTGGTCTCTGTGGTTGACGTTGTGGCCATCGTTTCCTGCTCTTAGCCAGATGTGCTCGACTCAAAATTGCTCTATGGCCAAAACATCTTTCCAACAATGTGCTCCACATAGTGTATAGAATGAACACACACACACACAGTACACATATTAACAATTTGTCGTTGTCAAGCATGTTGCCAATAGCAGATAGACGGATACCAAAGACAAGACCACACAACAGGCCTCTGGCTAACGAGGCGCTTGCCAAATCATTTCGAGTTCGCTGGAGTTGAGTTGAGCTCTGATACCCTGATTAAAAATACATAACAAGGGGTATTTTAAAAATACCTCAAGTTTTGTATAATTAATTTTAAAAACAACAACAAAAATTTGTTAAAAGTTGTCTTAATTCTAAAGAGATGAGCTTTAATTGCAACGTGTGGTGGATTACTCAAGATTCCTTTACAGCGTATCTACAAATCAAGCAACAACATTTTTGCTTGCCATTTAATTGCTGATTTGACGTCCCATGGTGGGCTGATGGAATTGCTAGCTAAGTGCCCCCGGCAAGTGTCTTAAATACTGGCTCTTCAAACTCCTCTCTCTCTCTCCCCTGTCCTGTCTCCTTTCAACTGCCCAACTTGTATCAGTAGATTGCAGTTACTTAATTTGAGCTAACGCGCTTTACAGTTGTCCCGTTTCACAAGTAGACACGTCATCTCCCCGTCATCGTTTTCAACCTCATCATCATCATCATCATCATCAGCATCATCATCGTTGTCAGCTTCATCATGTCGTTGTCTTTCCTTGTTTATCCATGCCATTAGATAAGCTGGCCAAGACAAACAGCCAGTGGCCAACTGTGGACGACGACGATGTTGACTTGACGCCGCCGCCACGGCGACTTTCCTGTTCAGCAGCTTGCCAAAACTAGTTTTTGGGCTAAAAGCAGCACACTTAAAAAAAAAGAGTGCTTTAATTCTTATTTACCTTTTGAATACAAAGCCAAAAGAACATTTGAAACAGAAATAAAATCGATTAATAGAGAGAGAGAAAAGAAAAGGATTTTATACTTAATTTAAGTATTATAAAACTTCAGCGATGTCCTTATTTTATGGATTATTGTTTTTGCTGATTTTACAGTTTATTTTTTTCTAGAATAAAAAAAGAGAGAATCTATGACTATTTGGAAATTTTAGAAATTGAAAATAATAGAAAAAATCTTGAAGCTCTTTAATTTTGAAGAATAAAATTAATTAATGGGTAGTTAAAATTTTGTTCAGTGCAAATTTGTCAATAGTCAAAGTCGAAAGTCGAATGTGTCTTAGCCGCAGTCAGTTTGCTGCCAATATCCGCATGAGACGATATCTTTGTCGTCGTCGTCGTCGTCTTCCTCTTAATTGAATGACTTTTAATCCTTTTCGCATTGCGTTCGAACGTTAGTTGCCACAGTTCCACTTGGCTGCATCATCTGCAGCGACAGCCACAGCATCAACTTTAACTTAAGCTGGCCAAGAAGTGGCATTAGCGCAGTGCGGCTTATTGCTTACGGTCGCAAAAAATGAACATTACAGTTGATACTACTGTTGTTTTTGTTTTTGTTGTTGTTGTTGTTGTTGTTTACTGTTTGCTGTTTGTTGTTTGTTGTCGTCTGTCTGTTGTCGCACATCGAATTACATTTTATTGTATTTGGTATGACATTTATGTGCAAATATTTTATCATACAAACTTGGCCTGCTTCGCTGCCATCCGCTTGCGTACCAACAAAGAGCCGCCGAACCGTAAACAATAACAAATTATTGGCAGCTAGTCAGACAGGATTTACACACAGTGGCTCTGATCTTATGTAAGAGGGCGTAGAAGTGTAAAACAAGCTATAATATTTGAAGAGTCTGCGAGATAGTTTCTACTTAAAGTTAATATCCGCATAAATAGGAAGATTTATCAAATTAATAATAAGAATTAGCAGTATAAATAGATGTGAGATCATGAGAAAGATGTTGGGGAAAAATGGAGTGGAAGATCTTTAAAAGGGGCGACAGAGGCAGGCTAGAAGAAAGAGAGAGAGAAAGAGATAGTAAGATATTGAAAGAAGAAAAGAGCAATCCGACCGAGAAGGTATGAAAGATCATAATAAATAAATGAGTGAACGATTTTTAAAGAAAAAGCGAAAAGAATAATGATACGGAGAACAATAGGAATGAAAGAGAAAATAAAAGAGAGAGAATAGGAGAAGGAGACAAAGAGATACCATCAAAATTCAGGTACAAGACAGAAAGAGATGACGAGAGAAACAAATAGAAAATAAAATAGAGAATAAATATAGACAAATCGGAATATAGAATCAGACTAACGGATCTAAATCGAGGGAGCGTTCGAATATAGTAACTATGACATAAATATACAAATGTAGCATATATTTGGCACCACTGTGCATTGCACATTAAATCCCATGTGAAAGTCCAAAGAGTAAATTTACAACTAGTTCGAGTAGTGAAAATAAAGCTCAAGTGGATTTTTATGTAAATTTCTGCTATATATATGTGTGGGCGACTGCCTCTCCCCTCCCCGCTTACTTATGTCTCCCCTCACTCACTCCAAGCTGACTTTCAATTGTTACAATTGATTGCGATGGCCATCAACCGACCAAAAAAAAAAAAAAAGAAAAAATAATCAATGAAAACGATTGCGCTTCTTAATTCACTTAGAAATAGAGCCGCAGATTTTTTCTCGGTTATTTTCTTCTTAACTTGTACAATTTGATTGGTTTTAATTAGACTGATTGAATTTCGATGGGGTTGTCGACCAAAACTGAATCTAAAAATCTAATGTAGAAAACTGATGTTTCATATTTTTGTTGCTTCGCTGGAAAATCGCGTGACTTGGTCAAATTTATGCTGACCAGGCAAACTGACAAATGTTTGCGCAAACATAAAAGGCAAGGGACTTGGTCATTTTTCAGCATATGTAAAAATGATATTCGTGACAGAGTCTGCACTCAGAGAAACAATGATGTGCTAGAATTTAGAAACTTGCAAAAGGCAGCCGGCAACTGCTAGAACAAAAAGTTTTGCCTTACAAATGGATTATTCTAAATATATGTTTAAAAAAAAGCAAATGTCTAAAAATTGCAGGAACAAATTATTATAAATTCCTCTTCTAAACAAATTTGCTTAAAATAATAAATTTATATAAAATAATTTATACTTTGAACAATCTTAAGAAACCATAAAACCAAATATTTGTATAAGAATTTAGCTGTCGTATATTTTTCAGAGTGTACAGGCCAATTAGGGACTAAAGCTTATCTATTTTTGCATGTCCTGTTTGGGCCGACATCTAATTAAATGAATGACTCTTCAACCCCTTTATTTTAATATATTTGCAGCCCGCTGCTATTGAGGATTTGCGGAAATGGACATCGAGCGAGGCGCTGGGTGATGTCACCGTCACGCCCGATTGCATGCATCACGTGGAAACCTCGATATGCACATCCCTCACAATTGGTGATAACGGCATTCTAACGCCCGCACTCTCTCCGTCCGTTCTGTCCGCCGATGCCGCCGATGCACTCTACGCCGTCAACATTAGCCAATCAGCGGATCAACATCATCATTCTCATTCTCAACATCAACTCCAGTTACCGAACGATATCAATAAAGATGTGCCTTTGAATCATCGACTGCCTTCACCCGAGGAACAAACCAAAATAATTGCCTTAAAGTAAGTAACAAACTCAGAGAATAATCCTAATTCAAATTAAAGTACAATCTGTGTAGCATTCATTCCACGAAAGTTAGTATTTTATTAAAGAAAGAAAGATTATCGTTCTCTGGTTTAGGAATTTCTAATGTGTCCAGATTTCCAAAACTATTCAACTTGATTTGAGTACGATACCTAATCTAGTCTAATATCAATTTATATCCTTTCCGAGGGTAATATAAGTTGGTCGTAAACTTTGCAACGCATTGGAGATGAAGTCTCTGACTCCATAAAGTATATATATACTCTTGATCAGCATCACTAACAGAGTCTATCTGTTTCTATAACAACTTGTCTCTCAGTCTTGAAGCGCTCTTGATGAAACTTGGAATATATGCGTCTTTTTGCTGCATATATCTGAGCCGGCTAGATCGGATAACCATAACATATAGCAAACGTTGAAAAAAACAGTCGAAAGATAAGCTTTCGTATGAGCAACTTTTGTGTTTAGCTTGTTATCCAAATCAAGATACAAATTTTCCTCAAATTTAGACAAAAAATCATCAATATCAGACAACTATATCATATAGCTATACCGATAGATTCTTAAAGCTTATAAATAACTTAGATGTCGGCAGATTCTGAAACTGGTCTGGAAGAATATGCAGTCTTCGGTGTGCCCCAGATAGTCCTTCTCTACTGTTTTCATATGCTAATGTTATTTAAAACTTTATTTTTATTGGAATTTCATGTAAATTTTCGCAGACATTTTGTTTGCTTTGCGTTTTGCCAGGCAGCAAACAGAAACATTCCATTATGGTTTTTTCTTTCTTTCTTTTTTATGTATGTAATAAATTTGCGACTCTTTAATATTATCAAGCATTTTTTTGGGCCTTTTTACTATGGGCTTGATGAAGTCATTAAATCACCATATTACTGTAGATATAAATTTGGGTTAAATTGAGCAAGTAGCCCAGATATTAATTTGATACGTAAACTGAAATGGATTATTGTTCATTAAACATAGATATATGCATCAGATCGGATTACTATATCTGACCACACTGATTGAAATAGATTATTTTTCATTAGGCATCCAACTGTCGCATTAAACAGGTTTATAAACAGATCATATTACTATATCATATGACACAAAATTGAATTGTTCGCAGTTTAAGCTTTGCCAATTTGCATACAATTTTTTCTTTCTTGTTGTTTAATTTGCTGTTATGTTTATGCCTTTTGTGCGCAATGCGACGCAATCACAAACCACAGCGAAAAAAACTAAAAACCAAATAAATTAATTCAATTGCATATTACGTAAAAATGTGTATTCACAGTGTGGCCACACACACGAAAAAACCCCAATTATGCAAGTGTCACACCCACTCGTCCCCGCCCCACTCCCTCCTCCACCCCCACCGCCTGCCTGCCACTTCCACAATTGGCCATGGCTCATTTGTTGAATGCGCCAGCACCCAAAATGGTAATAGCAAACAGACAAAGAAAATATTTAGATGGGTGTTGGGGGGTGAAAAACAAACAACGTTAACGCTTCGTTGATTTAAAGCGCAAATATTTGACTTACATTCCAACCATAAAATGCACTTTAAAAACTGAAGTTTTTGCTATCGTTTTTATGTGTAAACCCAACGAAATGAAATCGAATTATTATACAAGAGCTAAGCAGGACTACTGGCCGATGATAATGATCCAAAATATTAAAGATCTGCTGGGCAACTGTGTTAGAGTATTATCCATTTCAATTGCTTAACCATTGTGTATAATTTTCATTTTAGAATTATCTTCCGTTCTGCTTAGTTTAGTAATTGAATTTGAACAAACTGTAAAATTTCTGAATCTAAGAACATTTCTCTATCAGATATATTTATTCATTTTACACGCTTTCTCAAAATGTCAGTTTGTGAAATGTATTTGGCCATCTTCGAGCTGAACATAATCTAATCTAATCTAATCCCACTTGCCATATTTGCAGATACCCCGCCGAAGTGATTTCGGTGAACACTTCCGGCAAACACTTCCAGCGGATGTGCGCTGCTCGCAAATCGACGGCGGGCTGCTATGCCGGCGGTGTTAATGGAACTGGTACGCCCAGCACCAGCGGGGGCAGCCCCCAGGATAATCAGACGGAGGGCGCCAACAATCTGGATGATAATGTGCAGACAGTTAGTCGGCGCTCGAGATCGCGCAAGGTGCGGGGAAAACGCCGGAATACCATAGCGGGCATTGATCAAAAGGAAATACAGGATGCGGCTAATGGGTATGTACTAGGAATATATATGCATAAATTTGTACAATACTTTCTGTGTATTTTCTTTTAACACTTTTCGTTGCCAAAGCGCCTTGTTGCAGTGGCTCTCAATCTGTACATAAAGCATACTGTGAGACCCCTTATATACAAATACATATATATAACATCATATATATATATATACATATTTTCCCCATATGAACTGTATCCAATTTGCAAATTTATTGCGAATCACGAAATTTTTCCATTAGCTGTTCAAAAATTTGTTATGCTGTTTAGTATTTGAAAAAACAAATATCTATATATATTTTTCGAAAAATTTTAGCTTATTTTCAAAAACATAATTGTATAAAATTGTTTGTGCCTTGTTGTAAATTTTTTGTTTATTTCTTTGTAATTAACTTTTATTGTTTGCCAAGTTAGCAGCAGCACAGGAAGCATGCCCAAAATATAAATTCCAAAATTTATTCAAACTGAATGTTGTAAAGAGAAATTTGTAAATAATCGAATTAATTGTTTATGTTTGCAAATAAATATATATATCAATAAATATAGTTTATATAGATCGATTGCCTAATTAAAAATACAAACAAACAAAATTGCAAGCAAAATAATTTTCTTTTCAGCTAAAGCCAGAAATAATTCTTAAACCAAAATTGCAAAATGCCAATAAAAACAAACAGCCTAACAAATTACTCAACATAAGCAAACATTTGAAAACAGTACACTCACTCACTCACTCACACTCACTCATACACACGCGCACACACACACACTCGCACACACACACTCATATTAAAAAAGAAAAGAAAAAAGTTCTCATAAAAATTCATTCATTTTTTCATATCCAAGACATTCACCTCGTACCTTCATAGTGCAGTCACCAACCACCCACACACCAAAACCCATTGTTGCCTTGTCAACATTTGTTGCCAGCTGCTGCCGCTTGGCAACATGCTGCGCCCACTGCTCCTAGCCTGCGCATCATCAGCATAAATCTCAGGAGTTATGCCTGCTGCGTACCCTCTGTAGGATTTTTGCTAACCAGTCAGAAACCCACGAAAACAACAACAAGAACAACAACGCTCTCGCTGTTTCCCTTTTAACGTAGTTTTGCGACGCCTTTTGCTTAAAAGTTTCATAAATCTTATTTGTTTTTGTTGTTGGCATCGTCTGCCCACAAAAGCCACGACTGTCGACGTTGCCGTCATTCCATTTGACTGCTTTTCATGTGCAACATGAAACTGCACACACACCGCACACACAAACACATACACGCATAGATAGAGAAGCATACACACATGTTCGTGATATATATGCCAATGCTGTTCAATATCTGTGCGATCAGCATTAAATATGCAAAGCAAACTGAAACTGAACTCAAAACTGAACTGAACCCAATTGCTCGCCAAACTGTAAGCTGACTTGTGTGTTCAACGAGGGCTTGCTTTAAAGTTATAAGCCTCAAGCAGTTCTTCAAAATGTGCAGCAAATGAAACTCCTACTTCAGAAAGATAGAAGTATAATGACTTAGAAAACAACCTAAGTTGTATTTCTGGTAAGCCAAATTTGAGCTTTAATTTGGAAATACATATTTATATCATCATCTATTACGAAGATATACTTCCGATATATTTCTGAATAGAACCAATTTTTAATATCTCAAATTATCAAGTTATCAATTTTGATTCAGCAATATTTAATTTCTTAAAACTGTAGTTAAGAGAAACGATTACTTCAACTTATTATATAAGGCAGCGTTCATCTAGAACAAACCTCGCTGAAGCTCAAATATCATAAAATTTTATGCGTTGCATACAGGAAATATGTGATTGTGATTTTATAAGCTGACCTGATTTGAATTTATGCAAACAAAAAGTGTGCATTTTAGATGGCTCCATAAGTCTTAAAAAAAAACTGCTTATTTTTGTCTTCGATCGATTTTTATATAAACAGAAAGATTTCATGTGAAATCTGAATCTCACCTCGCCCAAAGCTCAAAGAGCATTAAATTTACTTGCACCCAAATCCGATGCAAGCCGATTCAATTGAAGATTTTCTTCTCAGTTTTTTTTTGTTGTTTTTCTTATTTTTTTTTGACTCAATAAAGTCAGATTGAATGAATGAATGAAAAGCGTCGCTTATCGGCATAATTAAGCGTTGCACATCCAAAGTGTGTTTTTTGTGCGTGCGTAGCCTATAAGTGCATGCCACAGCTGCCCCAGAAAAAGCAAAAAAAAAAACCAAACTTTCAGCTGGAGCCACTTAAAAAATGTTGTAGATGTTGTAATCGCCTTTAATAATCAAACAGAAAGCAAAGCAGAAACTGCTTGCATACATATATAAAAATGAAAAAAAAGAAACAAATGTTTGCTTGAAAATTAAACTTTGAACTGTGCCATTAATTCTCCATCGCATTTTCTTTCTTTGTGTGCCTGTTTGTTGTTGTTCTTTGTGTGCCTCTTTGACAAAAATGAAATTAAGCAGAAAACATCAAGATAAAAATTTAAAAATACAGTCGAACTATTTCTTGTAACATATTGAACCAAATTAAGTGTAAATACTTTATACAATTTTGACTCCATAACTCGAACTTCAATTCCCCATTACTCAAATTAATTAAATTATCAGGAAGACATAACTGAGTAAATATTCAACATAATATATATGTTTTTTGTTTTTTTTTTATCGGTATGACAGCATTCGATGAAAATCGATCAGTTCTCAAATTCTTTAAATTTTAATTTGGTTTGAGTTCGAGTTAGGAATGTTCGACTGTACCTTATTTTAAATGCAATTAATTCTTTGGGCTCGACAACTCACAATAATTGATCATAGATTGGCAAACGACCTTAAACTATCTTCTCTCTCAATCTCTACTATAATTCCCACTCTTTCTCTCTCTCTCTGTCTGTCACTCTTACACACATCTACATACATCATAAAACCTTACTTAATTTTTTGCTAACCTTAAACCACAACATATATATATATATGTATTTTCTTTTTTTATGTTACACGATCAAAAATCCCAACAAAAAAATATAAATCGAAAATTTATAGCAATGCGGAGTCCAAGAATCAATCAGCTGCCACATCGCCAGCACCAGTTGCACCAACTGCCGTGGACAGTAGCGGATCGAAGAAAACGAAGAAGTTCGGACGCAGCAAATCGAGCGATATATTAAAAAAGGAATCTGTTGCCTTGCCCTACGACAAGGGGAAGAGCACCCTGACCCGTTTGAACTCGCTGAAGCAATGGGGTCGCAATCGTTTCAAGTTCATGCAACGCAATGGGGAAGTGGATACCAGCCAGTTGGACACCAGTGGTTGCAGTTCCCAGCACAGCAGCTCCACAGACAAACCGGAGACGAGCAAGAGCAGCAAGATGCTAGCATCGCCAGGAGGAGCCGGATCATCGGGTCCAGGAGCAATACCCAAGCGCGATATTGATGATGAGTGTGTGGTGCATGATCTAATTGCCCAGAAGAGTGAATCACGGTTTTCGCACGAACGAAAACCCTCGTATTCCTCCTCGGAGAAGAGCATGAGCGTATCCAGCAGCGGCCAGTTGCGAGGCAAACTCCAATTATCATCGGTGGCAACAGCCGCGCAGGTGAAGATGAGGGAGACGGCCACCTTGAATAGACAGCGTAGAATGCGCCTGGATGTTGCCGGCAAGGAGGAGCAACCGCATTCCTCGAGCGGCAATTGGAGTGCTAGTTCCGAATCTGGTCGTGCCTCAATTGGTAGCGAGATCACCATGCAACCGAAGTCGAGTGCATCGAATACCTCGCTGAATGTGTCCAGTTTTCAGCCGTGCAACAGCAGTGGACCACCCTCGTCCATGTTGAGTCGCCGTCGATTCCTAAACACCTCCGCCTCGAGTAGTGTGACCAGTGAAGGTACTGCTACGCCTGAGTTGCAAACAGATACGGGCACCTATCCCAATCATCTGGATGATGAGACCAGTTCCGCTTATAGCTGCGACACAGAAGGTTACTACACCTCCTTCCATATGGATAGTGGATTGCGTACGCTGAAGGAGGAGGAGCCACCAATGACGCCACTGCAGCAGAGCCTGCACACCAGTAGCTACTCCTTTGGCAGTCAGTCGAATCAAACGGTGCTCAATGCGGAAAATGAATATGAGCTCTATGGCAGGGGTTCGACATCAACAACGACGAGCTCGGCGGGAACCGTGTGCACCACGTTGATGAATGCAGCTGCCTGCACCGGACCGGATGTGCCAGAAAGGAGCAGCTCTCTGGGCAAGCACAGCCAGAGTAGATCGTTGAGCAACAGTGCTAGCAGTAGCACCCTAGAGAGAAGCTACAGCAGTAGTACCATAGGCAGTACCCTCGAAAGAACGGGTACTATTAAACGGAATGTGAAATCAGAGAATGCAGTGCAGCTGCATCAACAGCAGCAGCAAGATCACTCGACAGAGGAGCTACAACGTTCCGCACAACCTTTACCCCATGATTTGGAGTACTCGGAGTGCTCGGATCTGGAGGGTGTTGAGCGCATTGAGCGTATTAAACAGAAAACTGCATTGAATGCCAAACGCATACCCTCCATGTGTATCATTACACCCACCACTAGCGATGATGATGAACTGCAGTCCCAGGATGCGGATGCGGAAACGGATGCGGATCGCACTTTGACCAGTCTACAGCTGAATGTAGACTGTGAATCGGATACACCAACCGAACAGCTAACGCCCACAAATAGCAAAGACCACAACCTCAATGAGCTGAAGCAGACACCAACAAAAGCTTTTAGCGGCATGCTCGAAAAGCTGCGCGTTGTGTTGCCGGCAAGAAACAAAAGCTCACCGCCAATTAAGCCAGCGACAGCGAGCGCTGTTAACGATGACAAGCTGTACGATATTGCTGGTGAATATGTAACCATAGCAGACATCAGCAACAACAACAACAACAACAGCCGGAGCAATAAACACAGCAGCAACAAAACGCAACAGCAAACAGCAGGCAGTCTCGCCATTTACTATTCGAACGACATAATTCGTCGCAAGCAACAACCACCCTCCGAATATGTTTCGCTAAATGAGTTGCCGACAACAGCTGCGACAGCTGCCACTGCGTCGGCTGACTCAGCTTGCTCAACGCAGAGTGTGCCCATGTACGCCGAGATTGGTGAGTTGCGTGAGGAGAAATCGTTGAATTCGCCGTCGCCGTCGCTGCCGCGTCGTGTGCTGCGCACAACAGCCGAGGGTCGCATCATTTACGATTCGGACAGCCTGAAGCGGCGAAAGGGCGCACACACCACCTTCGCACCTGGGCCGTATGTGAAGGAAACCGAAAGTGCGCTCAGTGCAACACGAGATGCCGACACGGGTGAAAGTGCAGCAGCCGTAGCAGCATCAGCAACGACAAATAAAAGCGCTAAATTATTACTGCTAAATAGCGGTATTGCATCACATCGAAAAGTGGCCAATGTTCGTCCAATCGTAGCCAAGTCACCCTTAAGCAAAATGCCAGCCTATCAGCCAGGCGGCGGCAGTTATCAGGATCAGAAGCAATTGCTTGCCAACAATACGAATCCATTTTACGAGACCATCGCCAGCAGCAACAATGCAGCAATGATGCCATCCCCTTCGAGTAAATCGAATTCATCGACGGGTTCGACGGCAACCAACTCATCCAGTTCGACAGCCTCTGCACACTCTACGGAAGAAGGTAAGATGGAACAAGAACAACCACAACAACAACAAGAACTAGAACAAGAACAACAACAGACGCTCGAACAACAAGCGCTACAACTGCAACAACAACTGCAACAGCAACAGCAACTATTCAATGTTAACAATCATTCAAGCACAACGCCCCTAAATGCTATTGTAAATAACACGCTACTTTGCAACACTACCACAACAACAACAACAACTACAAAACAAGCTTCAAATATTAACAACGATACAAATTTGTTGCTCTCCAAGTCAAAATTCGCATCAATGAGCAGCATTTCAAGTGTACAGCAGTCAACAGCAGCAGCAGCAACAGCCCCCAAAGATTGTGATTCTATTATGCTAAGGGTGGCTTTTACCCACACCCACGAAACAATGGCAACATCCCCAATTTCCCCAACAGAACCACCCCAGCTGCCGCCGCGCATGAAAGTAAATGCAGAGCAACTGCCAGCACCTGCCCCCCATTTATCGATTGACCCAATTACTGCAACGCAGTTTTCCATTTCGAATGCAACTGCAAACCCAACCCCCACCCCCTGCTCAACCCTTGCTCTCTCATCCAAGTCTCGCTGTGGCGCTCTCAAGCGCAACAACAGCTATAGGCTGGCGAATGATGAGCTGAAGCTCGAAATGAATAAGGAAAATTGCAGCAACAGTGCATTGCAACCGCACATCATGCCACATGCAACAAGTTCCCTCAAGCTAAGGAATCTAAGCAATTTGCAAGTGTTAACCACGCCCCCCCAAGAGCGTAAGATAGCCAAATCCTTTGAGCGTCTGGTCGATGAGTTTTCGCTATCGACCACCTGCATTGACTCTTCGTATTTGAAAAACAAATCTCTCGAAAACTTTGATGATTCACCCGCCTTGTTAACATGTCCTGCGCCAGACAAGGACTCCACCTCCGCCACCTCCTCTGACAGCGAGGAATCGGAGGATGAGGCTGCAACACACCCAGCACTGCAGTTGCCTGTCTGTGTCACGCCACACAGCAAATATCACAAGTCCTTTGTTGAGAGCGTGCTGCTGCGTCCTTTCAAAATCATCCTGCCCAATGAGGATAATGGCGCACGTCGTCAGCGACTGCTGCAAAAGTTTGAGGTAACTGAAATCTGGTAGACCACCGACACATTAGCTTGTCCTTAAACTCTTGACCTTTTGCTAAAAATAGTAGCAAGCAAACACTTGGAGAAAATAATAAGAAACTGCTGATGTCGACAAGGCAAGGACATATAACAAAGTTAGTATTACAAGAACGAATTTTGTTACGCAAAATGATGTAAGACTCTTAAGTACGATTGTTCCCTTTCTTAAGCAGTTGAGTTCTTTCAAAAATCAAGAAATCGAGAATTGAGCAGCAATTTTCTCCGAGTGTTCCCTTTGTTCTCGCTGTAGCTCTACCTCTTGTCTGGGTGTACACGCTTTTAAGTGTGCATCTTGAGCAAACACTACACCAAGTAATTATCTCTATCTGAGCCTTGGCTCCTTCTTTTTCTTAGACCCCCCTCATCTCGCAACACATCTTTGCCTGTGTCTCGCGCGTGTTCAATGGGGCTAGTGTTGCCCATAGCATAATTTCTCCTCAGCTATTCCCACAGGTTCAATGCCCAAGCTCAGTCCTAGCTTCCTGCTTGAAAGCGATACTTTTTCCTCAGTGTTCATTATTAATTCAATAAAATTGCTCAAAGGTTTTCAAAAGAGATTTTATCACAAAAGAAATTGAAGACGCAAGCCTGGAAAGTTGCTTAAAGTTAACACATAATTCTTATTTTTAACAAGTACTTACAAAATATAATACATTATTTAAATGCAGAAAATAATTTGTGAAAAAATAGGGTCGCGAAAATACGAATTTAAAATTAAAAATGAAAATAATGAATCCAATTTGCAGAAATAATAATTAATTTCCATGCTGTACACTTGAAATATCTGTTGTCAAAAATCAAATTTCGAAGTTCAAAATTAACTAACGATTAAAAATTGACGTTAGTTCCAGTTCCTCATGCAGTCAGTGCTGCCAAAATCCTTTTTTTGTTTTGTGTTTTTTACCCAATTTTTTAAGTGCGAATAATTTTTTTTATATAATTTTGATTTGTGTTTACTTAATTGTTTAACTAACTGTGTTTTTAACAACCCACATTAATTAAGTGTTATGTGTATGTACATAAACTATACCTATACGTTTATTATTTCCTTTTGTCAATTTTTCAACTGTAACTAATTGTAATAATTAACAACCAACAACAACACATGTGTATTGTAAATTCTGTAAAGTTTTTTGCACCGTTTATGTTTCGTTTATAACCAATATTACAAAACAAAAATATGCATTTATTTTTTAAGTATTTCAACAAATTAAAACGCTAATTTTTTCAATAACTGACTGATTTTTCCAAATTGTTCGAAAGCGTGCAAAAAACTTCTATTGCATAATTTATATTTGTATATGTATGTGTGTGTGTGTCTGTGTGTATATATTGAAATGTAGTAGTAGTTTTTTGCACCTCGTACCAAATTAAAACAATAACTTCAAATATATCCCAAATATCCCCAGTATTTTTGACAAATTAGCGTTTGATTTGGCTAAACATATTTTATAAAATTTCTTATGCACCTTAAGTTCTTGCCTCTGTAGCTTAGTACCTAAGTTCAATCACATTCCATAACAAATAAACACAAAATAATTGAAAAAAAAAACTCCGATTATCGTAAGTAACTATAAATAAACTGAGAAAAAACTGAAACAAAAGAAAAAAAAAACTAAAAATTCGCATCAACTCATTGGCATTGTACAAAATCAAAATCAAACCCACCTGGGCTGTGGCTTCATGCATATATCATATATATATATATATATATATAACTACTGCACCACCCACCAACACCACCACAACCACTCAGCTCCATCCATCCAGCACTCAATTTCTTGTAATACCATCTACAGTTGAACTTCGTCAAATCGAATTTGCCTTAATCAGTTTTTTGTAACTCAACTCTATACAACTTTATCAACTTTTACACGGAGTTTTTACCTTAAAGTGTAATTTGAGTAGCGCTTAAGTTGTTCAAGAGCAATAACTATCAATCTGATTATGCATTTGAGTGCTAAATATTATTTTTGTCCGATTTTGATAATACTTAGGCTTGTTCAGATTTTTTGGTAATCAAGTTTTTAATTCAAGAGCTTAAGAACTATGGCAAAATATCAGATTCAACCTAGTCCGACTTGTAGAAAAAGAGTCATCAAAATACCCTTAATTGTGATGTATCCAATAGAGTATGGAAATGAATGTATAATGAACATTATAATACCCTTGGCAAGATTGCAAAAAGTTTTCATACATGGTTCGAGTTAGCGAAGTTCGACTGTAGTGTAGGTGCATACACAACATGCAGGTAAACAATCAGCTCATCATAATCTAACAGGTATGTACGTTAAATGCTTGTGCTCTCTGGAATGCTTCTCTAATTGAGTTTTATGCTATTTTGATAACCGCACTATAAAAATTGCTTACTAAAAAAATGAAACGCTAAGGAAATTTTGTACGCATCCTTAAACTGAGCTCAACTAATCTGTCTATCGGTGTCTACCCGTCTTGTGTTTGTTTGTAGGGTATCAACGTTTCTCTAATATCTATGAGCAAGTGCAGTCCGTTGCACCATTAGATACATCAGCGCCGCCCCCAACAGATGCCACGCCCTTTCAGCGCACTGCGCCCGTCTATTGGACGCTGCAAAGCAGACGTAGTCAATCCAAGGCGTCGTCGGCAGGAGCCAACGTCGCATCATGTCGCGATGATCTATATGCCACGCCCATAAGGCGAGCGGAGCGTGTGGCAAGAGCTGCCGCAGCAACCGCCGCCGCGTCCTCCATCTTATCCACATCGACAGGGAGCAGCAATGTGTCATCGGGCATGTTTATGACGTCGACACCGACGCGAGCGGAGGAGAATGTGCCACCGATGAAGCAACCATCGCGCAATTGGAGCGATAATTCGCCGGAGCGATTGAACACCTGTGCGGATCGAATTGGCCAAAGCAAGACGACGCTGATGGACTTTAAGAAACTGCTGCTGGCCAAGTCAGCCAAGACGAGTCCCGTTCAGCGTAAAATGTCCGCCGTCGAACTGTTGAAGAAATCAACAACAGCGGCTGCGGCAAGTAAAGGTGCGCAGACCAATCAGAAGAACCAGAAGCAGGTGACTTCTGCGCCAGGTGCGCCGTCGAAGCCAACGCTTAACTCCAGCTTGAAGCTGCTCGATTTGAGTGGTTCGCCAAAGACGTTTGCCAATCGGAGGATGTTGCGCCAGGGACAATTCGGTTCGCCGTCAAAGACATTTGCGCCCAAAATGGCAACCGTTGTGCCACGCACGGATATTATGTCGACAACGATACCGGAGGCGAATAGCGATGAGGATCACTCGGGCTCCTCGAGAGCTGCCTCCGAGGCGGGCAACAGTCCGAGTGCCAGCGTTGCCATCTCCAGTTTCGATTTGAAGCGTAATTTCTTTCTGCAAACCGAGGAGAATAATTTCATGCGCGGCGAGCTGAAGCCCAGCTTTGGCAGCAACCGGAGCAACAACAGCAACCGGAGCAACAACAGCAACCACAACAACAACAACAGCAATGCTGGCCCAGCAGCAGTTGCATCCAGCCAGGAGAGCAATAAATTTGTGCCCACAGCGTTGCCGGCATTTGAGACGGCGCTTTGAGGCAGTAATGGGAATATAAAGCGGGTCAAACCCGAAATCATAATACATATGCATACATTAATGAAAAAATAAAACTAAAAAAAAACACACACACACATACATACATATATACATATTCCATAAGGATAATCGAGTTAAACAATCGCAATTGGGCGCTTCCCCTCCACCCACTCCCTCACCTCACATAAAAAACAAATCAAACACAAAAAAAAAAGAGGACGCTGAAAACGCATTTATCTTATCGTATCTTAGGAGAGTCAAAAGCGATGCTACTTTATGCAAAATTTACATATATCTTATACAGCTCTAGATACATTTATATATACTATATGCAATTATACCGTTTATACAATTTATATTGTATTCTTTTTTATATTTGTGCTGCTTGTATGGATTGACATACAGATTTTTATACACACACATGAATCGTCAAAAATATATTTATTTGTAATTTTACGTTTATTTATTGCAATTTAATTATTAACTTTCAACTGCATTTTTGCTCTTCATAATTTTGTACGTTTACATTTTGGATTTAAGAGGAAGCGCAAATAAATAAAAAATATTAAATTAAAAAAAAAAACAAAAATTCAATTTGTCTTTTTGGCTTACTTTAAATCTCTAATCTCAAATCTGCGACTTGGCATTCGGTTCGGGAATAAGGCTAATTCGTTTAAATCCAATCCGAACCGAATCTGCTCAGAGAATTTCGACTTTGAATTAGTTTGTAGCCACATTTTGGTATTGAGACTAAATCCAGCTGCGACCCACGCTGCCTGACCTGCGTTTGGATGACGACAAGGACTTGTCGCCGACATTATCCTTGCGTGTCAGCACAGGCGAGCCGGCATTGCCAATGTTGCGAATGAGTAATTTAAGTCCACGTGCCTGGGCATCACTTGCCTGTCCCACAATGTTCGCCTCGGAGGCAATAATGCAAAAGTCATCGACAATATGCCCCGGAGGACTTATGTCGAAGGGCAGGATATCATTCAGGCTCTGCTGCTGCCGACGCCGTGAGCTGCTAGCCTCACCGCTGCTCAGATTTTGGGAGCTGGCTGCACTGGACGACTGCTGCTGTTGTTGCTCCTGCTGCAGCTGCTGAAGACGGGCACGCAAACGTGTATTTTCATCCTGCAGGCGCTGCATGTGGGCCGCCTCCTGCTCGGCGCGGACAAAGGACGGCTGTGGCAGGCACTGATACACCGTAGTTAGAAAGTTCCTCAGCGACAACAGCAAAGTGTCCTGCCACTGTTTGGTAAAGTACAAAGCAAATGTCGGCGACTCCTCGGCATTTTTGCAGAATGAAAAGTCTGTGAAATAAGTGAAATTAGCAGTGATAAGTATATATATACTATATACGATACTAATGCAGATGTTATACCCTTGCTCTTGATGACATCATTGTCGACTTTATCTTTAATTTGTCTATTGTTTTTGTTTGCAAAAGGTAAGATTTGAATATTTTCGTTATAATAAAGGCTTATGAAAATCAGATAAATTTGATGTTCGTAAAAAAAATCCATACTAAATTAACTGAAAAGCAGTCATGCATTGTTTTCACACCTACTGTTCGGATGTGGATGGATATATATATAATAAATACACTTTAATGCATCAAAGATGTTTGATTCACTAATATTACTCAATTTATCACAAAAATTAAGTACCCTCTGCAAAGATTCAGGTATAAGTTTAATAATATATGCATTTATTTGGCTTACAGAACCAGTCCTTCCACTCGTTCTGCTGCTGCAGCTCGCTGGACAATTTCTTAAAGAACTCGGAGATCTTATCGGATTTGTTGTTGCTGTAGGCCGTTACCAGATAGTATTTGAGCAGATTATTCTCCAGCTTCTTCACAGCTGCAATAAAACACAAGTCGCTTAGCAGGCAGATCAGGAGAGGGAGAGATGTGTGGAAGTTAGGCTTACCCACGGCATAGTTGTGATCCAGTTTGCTGAACAGATAGTTATCCAGATGCAGCCACAAATTGCGCAGTGCCTTCAAATCCGATGCTTGGACAGCAGCATTGAAATGTTCGATTAAACGTTCTGCACGAAAATGTTGATCCTTCTCATTGCGCTGCTCCACATCGAGAGCTTTCAATGTGTTTGAGTAGCCGCGGAATATCAAGTATTCACGTAGCATGCTGTCCACATAGGCAACCTGAGCCATTGTTTGCAACAAATTTAAGTCGTATTTACTTAAAAACACAAAAGAAAACAATTATCTAGCACTTGTTTCGCGTTTGTTTTCATTCGTCTGTTCGCTGTGTGAATCAAATTAGCTTAAGCGAATAGCGAATTCGCCGTAAGGTATTTTTGTTACTTGCAACTGGTCACACTCTTCGATGAATATTCTTTTGAGCTTCATTTTATGACGGCGCATAAATCTAAGCAAAACAATCAGTAGGCTCTGTTTGGATTTTGTATGGGAAAATCAAATAATAATTTTGTGAAAAGAAAAAAAACTGCAAAACTAAACATTTCGGGCTGGAGGCCAGAAAACGGGTGTTGGCTGCGACGAACTGATATTCAAATGCAGTCCGTATTGGCGGTTGAAGAACTCTTGAGGTCAATAAAAAATGAGATTTCAGTCACTTGTGGTAATTTTGTGGGAGCTGTTGCAGAAAACAACTGTGGTTGATTTTTCTTTTTTCTATTTTTTTTTTTTTGTAGCAAGAATATATTTGTAATCAAAGAGTTGCAAGAAAATAAAAGAACGAACTGAGCCGCGAATTTAAATGCAAGCACAGGCAGTGTGTAAATGCAATAAAAATACTGACAGCGCTAACCAAAGCATTTATCGTGCAATTTGTGACTGTAAACTGGTCACACTGTCACTTGTGTAGACTTTTCTGCGTAATTTTGTGATAGTGACATTTTGATTAGAGCTGAAACAAAAGCGAATCACGTAAAAGCACCAATCATCAAATCGCAATAAATGCAGGTGGCAAAGAAACACTGGAAAAATGAGTCGAAAGGGAACAAAAGAACAAAATGATATATCGCTAATCATTGGGAACCTACCGAAACGGCTACAGAACAAAATCGCTGCCAGCTGTAGCAACAACGACAGCAGCAACAGCCACGCAGCCGAGGATGCTGAAAATGCGGAACCCAAGCCAGCCGCAAAAGTCACTTCAAGGCCAGGCATGTATTATACATACACACACACATGAGTCACAGCAATTAACAGCGTTTATTTCCTTATCTTTAGTTACAGTTTTGAGCAGGCCAAAGGAGAATAATGTTGGCATTGCTCCTATGATGAGAGCAAATGCACCCGTTTTGGATACCAGCGGGTGCAGCATTAGCAGGAGTCTGGACATTGGCTCCCGAGACGTGGGCATACCAGGCATATTGCGCATCAGTGCGAATCCGGCAACAGCGATAACAGCAGCGGATGAGGCAAAGAGGGAGAATACGCGGGCTCGTCGACGGCGACGCACTAATTCGGCTCGAATGCATCAGGAGCCGATACCATTGTCGCCATTGCCGTTATCGCGAGTGCGTTTGACCACCGATCATCCGGCATGGTTCGAGCAACTGCTCAATATGCCAAATGCAAAAATAATAGTTCAGCTCTACGATCAGCTGATGGTGTTACAGCAACGTAATCTAATTCTTATCGTAAGTTCATTTGAATTTGTCAGTGCTGATTCATCGAGCGCTGGTCAGCAATTACATCATTTCATGTTTTGTGTCTGATGTCTGATTTTATATATTAAAAAATGATCGTTTAACTTGCAGAATTGGAAGAACTTTTGCTACTTGCACGGACAGCTGCTCGATGCGTTCTGCAGTCTGCTGCTCGACCAGTTAAAATTCGTGTGCGAGCACAAAGTGGATGCATTCTTTTGGAAACTGCTGTTCTACAATGTGCGCGAATATCTGAGGCGGCAGAACACGGATGTGACCCAAAGCCATACGCTGCTGCTCATCGAACAGACGGCCAAATTCTATCGAGTCACCTACGACAAACTGATGGCCAAATACATATCCGTTCGTTGCGAGAGCGCCGTTAAGGTTGTCGCTCAACGTCTGCTCATCTGCTTGGGCGACTTGTCGCGCTATCGCGCCAATCACTTGCAGCTAACGGACTTTGCCGAGGCCTGCAAGTATTATCAGCGCGCCCAGGAACTGGTGCCAAGCAATGGAGCACCCTATAATCAACTGGCCATCATCGCTATTTATAATGTAAGTTGTGTACTTTCGACAACAGTCGTTGTAACGTAATTTTCACATCGTATTCCTTATTGTTCACAGCACAAACGCTTTGAGGCCGTTTATTATTATATGCGCAGCCTTTTGTCATCTAATGCCATACAATCGGCCAAGGAGAGTCTCTTGGATTTATTCGATGAGATACGCCGCAAGTATGAGGAACTGGAAATGAAGCAATCCCCGATGCACTGTGTCGCCAACAAGCCCAAAAAGTCAAAGCAAATGCGTAGCGAAGTCTGGATATATCCGGATGGCATGCGATGCTTGCATCGCACCGATTTTAAGGGCAAAACCAAGAACAAATCAAATATTGTTGAACTCAACTGTTACGATGAATTGCCACCAGAGGATTTGCTGCCAAAGATTGTGGCCCTCTATCTGTATTTAGTGGGCAAACTATTCACGGCCACTGAGTAAGTCATGATTTATGTAATTAGGATACAACTTTGATTACAACATCCTCATTGTCATCCACAGCATTGAGTGCATGTATCAGCAGCTGGGTAAGCTGCAGATTCAACTGAGTGCAGCTCTCAAATTTGACAATCTCTTGTCGCGCACAAAACTCTTGAAAATGGTGGCATTAAATGTGTTTGTGCTGGAGCACAACAAGCTGAAAGGTAAGCTAGAAATGTTGATAATCTTTATCAGCAGAGAGTTTTCAACTTGCATATACTTTCTTCCAGCTAATCGTCGTGAGATGCGCTATCATAGTTTTAACTTTGCCAACTCATTCTTTGGCCTAATGCTGAGTAAGGTGAATCAATTGCTGGCCAGTCTCACGGAGGATTCGACCGAATTAGAGTCTTTCACAGATAAAGAGTAAGTGGTAATAATGCTCTAATTGTCCCGTATTCAACATTTTATCTTGCAGATTAACACGCGTCAATACTTATCTACAGTTTATTAAAATATATACACATTGGCTGACCATCAATGTGGATCTTTGGGAGCCTGTGCGCACGGAAGAGTAAGTTAAAACATTATATCCATATATTTATAATTATATGACTATTCTCTGCATCTACTTCAGTCACTCATTTATCGATTGCTGGGCGGAGCTGCGAATTCTTTTTGATCACATCGAAAGCATCTACAGCAAATTTGATAAAGAAAGCGAAAGCAGCAATAAGCTGAACGTTGTCTTGGACGAGGATATTGTGCTGAGTGGGTTTCAGCCATTGGGTCGCGATCTGGCCAGGGAGTGTAGTCAGCGTAGCTCAGAGCGCGCCCAGTTCATCGAGCGTATACGAAAGATTGCCCAATTCCAGAGCATCTATTTGCAGCATGAGGAATCGTTGCAGCTGCCGTTAAACGATAGCTTCACAATTGAAGACTTAAATACGGCCATGCAGGTGGCACTGAAGGACTTTGACATGGACAGCTGCGGCGATTCTATTCCCCTGGAGACTTCTGTATCTGAGCAAGACCAAATCGAAGAAGTGGACATGATGTGTTCTTCGACTGCCAATGCGGATGTGACGCAGCTTTGCAAGCTAAAGAAACAGCTTGAGGCAAAGGCAAAGGTCAAGCAGATTTGCAACAGCAAACTGGAGGAGATTTTGAAGCTCGTTGACTCCAAACTCTACATTGAGGTGCGTCCACGCTTACTGTTGCCAGACACAAATTGTTTCATCGATTGCCTCGAGGATATTGAAAAGTTGTCCATGGAATTCAAACGCTATACGCTCATTATACCACTGACTGTGGTAAAGGAGCTGGACGGACTATCGAAGGGCGTCAAGTTGGATTCGTATCGCAGCTCGAAGCAGACGCAACGAATTCATCATTTTGACGAGGTATCAACGCGTGCCAAAAAGTCACTTGAGTTCATTAGATCGGCTAAAAATAATGTGAAGTGAGTAAATCGCTATGCGAGTTAACAAACTGTAAATCTGTAATTCGTCCCTTTTTTTATTTCAGATGTGTGACCACAAAGGGCTCTGTAATTAGTGCTTCACTATTTGCCCTGGTTGAGGAGGAATATGCCTCCAATGATGACAAAATTCTGGCAACAGCGGTTGCTGCGTCCAAGAATGCTAGCACTGAGCAGTGCAGGGGTAAGTTGGAAATCGATTAAGGCGGCAAGTAGAACTTAATTTAACTGTTTGCATTCACAGATGGAAAATGTTTTATTCGCACAGAACTGGTGCTCATCACTACCGATCGGAATCTGCGCGTTAAAGCCTTAGCGCGGAATCTGGCTGTCAGCGCCTTGGATGAGTTTTTGCAATGGGCCAAGGACTGTCGCGAATCAACTTGAGCACATCGACAGTGGGAAAGTATTGCGATACCGTTCTGACAATTGTACCAGGTTTATCCAACCTGTGCGCACGATGCCTGCTGTGAAGAGCGAGCTCGTACCTTCAATATCACCACCATCATTAGACATATTTGGCTATGTGTTGTTGTGGCCAACCAACTGGCCACCAGCATACGTAAACGATTGGAAGTGTGTCTTCGCTCTTAACTGGATAGAAAATTATGTGCTGTTGTCGAGGTTTCTGGCTCTTTTCGTCCTAATTTGGTCATCACGTACTTGGCCAAGAGACATATCAACATTAGTTTTCCTATATTTTCTCCTTATGTGCGTTCTTGTGACTTAATTTCAATCCGAAAAAATTAAATTGAATGGTTAATTAAAATTGTTGTTTATCTATGAATCATAGCGTTTTGCTGTGGAAACTATGCAAATAAACACTTCGTATATTTATAAATGATTTTTATTTGTTTATATATGTATGCATACATATATACTACAGTTACTTAATAATAACTAAAAGTTTAAATAGTCTGTTTAATACCCAATATACATGTAATTACATGCTTAGGCTAACGTTTGAGTAGTCTTCATCTTACATGGCTAATTGAGAATGGCTAAACTTGATATTACCGGTCAACAAATTTAGAATAGAGTTATTGCTAAAGAAAAAGTAAATTGAAGTCTATTTTAATCAGCCCAAAGGAACCCCTAACTCATAATTCGATTAGGCGATCAGGTATGTAGGGTTGGTTAACTGATCGCCTTTAAAATGTCCCTTGGAAAACAACTCGTTTGCGCTTTGTGGAATCATAGGGTTCTACATTGATTCTTGAACGGGGAAATAAATAAAATCGCATTTCTTGTGCTATTATTGTCGAGTTTATATCGTTCTGGTTTTAGTCGCTTTTCCATATATTATACATACATTTTGGACGACATTCCCGATGCATCTCACGGAGCATAAGTTTATGACTTTCTTCCTCGTCAGTTTTCCTGTAACCCAGTTGCTTATATTCGGAAGTTGTAATTTCTCTGCACAACGCTGGCAGCAGAGGATAATTCGAATGTATGAGAACCTGTGGAAAATGGAGCAGCTGGGACTTGCAAGATTCAACTGCAACACACCATCAGAGATTCCAAGCTTACGTCGGCTTTTATGGATCAGATTATCGCTACTAGTGTCTAAATCTATATTTCTTTGGATATGGATGTCTATTAGTGAAAAAGGACTTTTATACAATGTGTGGGGTGCTCTCACAGGAACAATGAGGAATGCATTTTATATGCTACTCTTTTGCCTTATCTGGTACATTTGCTACAACTTCATGAAACTGCAGCTTGCTTTAGATCATGTATTTCGTTATAAAATGCAAAGATCAAAACGTTTGCAGCAAATGCAAAAATTGCATCGGATGTTTTATCAACGCATACGTATGATGAATGAGATCTGCAATATTTTCAAGTATCCGCTGACTTTTCTTATATTGCACCAAATTTATATAAATTTAATACAAGGAGTCTTAACAATTCAGGCACTGTTTGGAAAAAATAATAAATTTTTCGAAGATTACGGCAGTTTCCTGAGTTTCCTAACCCTTATTGAGGTATCAGAATTCTGTATGCTCGGCAGTATCGCTGAAAGAGTTGGTAAACTTAATGAGAGTACACTAAACCTTTTGCGATACCCTTACCCGAGTGGGGCTCAACTGGAACGAAGTGTGAGTGTAACAGGATGAATAAGTTTTATATTACTCATTTGTACTCTCTTTCAGAATGAATGGTTTGCTCTGCAGCTAAAATTGCAAAAGATGAATCTCCGTGCTGTTGGAGGTCTAATCATTAATCTTCAGTTTGTCTTTGTATTTTTAATTAACATCCTACTTCATATTATATACATGGTACAAAGCGACAACAAAATGTTGCGAATAAAGAAAGTTGTGTGAAAAATACTCGTAAAACTTACTTGATTCGTCTATGGCATATTGAACACTTTTTCTTGGACTATAATTATTAATAATTATACTGAATTAAGGATATTGTCTTTGCTTATGCAAAATTATGATAGATAGATAATGTAATTATGAAAATGTAGAGCTAATCAATCCCCTTGGGGGAGGTCATCTGTGAATAACAGGTGGCAGGTCTCATTCGCGAGCATTCATTTGCGGGTTGGCTTCCTGGTGATTGAATGCACCGATGGGAACTCAGCGGATTGGCTGAGGACCGGAGTGTCGAACTATGCCGATGACATTGTTAACCTAGCAGGGGGAAAATTCGAAGAATCACTCTGTGACATAGTTTAATTAGGGCTGAAAATAACAAGTGTATGGAGGTGTATGGGGGTTGAACCAACCTAAACCCTACAACATCCGTTATCATTCCCTTCACTAGAAGAATTAAGTTACAGATAATGATGTAAATAAAGCAGCTCTGGTAAGGATATTGGCAGAGGGGGTTGGCTGTTATCATATCCTAAGCCAGAGAGATGCCGAACCTCTTTCAGTTGAACATAAAACCATAAAATGGCACACAGATGGATCGATCACCCACCAGGGCACAGGCCTGGGAGTTGTGGGTCCTCGGATATCTTACCACGAACCTCTGGGAAACCGCACTAGCATATTTCAAGCGGAGGTCTATGCAATAGGGAAAAGTGCAGACATTAATGGATATAGCCATCCTTTCCGATACTCAAGCAGAATGAAATGCACTTGAGAGGATGGAGATTACATGAGAAGTAGTTCGTGAGGCTTGATCTAAGGTGGGTCATAAGGATATAGTGAAGAAAAAGCGGAAGATGAACAGGCAAGGAATAGGAGGTTGGCAGAGAGGACCTTAACAGAACCAGAACCATTTTGTGGCATAAGAAGATACACTATACGGCTGCAACCTAAAAACCAAGGAAGGCAGAGGCGACAATAGACTTAGGATACTCACCGGTCTATTTACAGGACACTGTAGACCAAGAAGTCATCTACCAAAACTTGCTATTTGCAGTAGCGAACTCTGTCAGTTGAGTTGAAATGAGGAAGAATCATGAAAGAACATCATAACATAATGAGTCGCATTAACTAGGAAAAGTTTTAGTATCCTGGGGATGCATTTTTTAAGTTCGCAGGACAAAGAAACCCTCAAGACGACAAAGATTCTTGGATTTTATAATTGGCAGCAATTGGTAATTGACATAGATATCAAATTAACGTCTTGTGTTTTTAAAATATGTATGTTTTTCCATTAGAACTGACCGTTTCTGAGCTATCCAGCGTTCTTTATTGTATAAATAAATAAACAAATTGGATTTGCCTTTTCAATTTATTGAAATATTGTTTTCCTTGCAGTAAAGGAAAGGTTGCTGTATAGGATAAGATATGCACGTATCACTTATACAAATTTGATTGGTGCACTGGATAAAGTGCCATCAATACGATCAATTTAATGGTGTATTGTCAAAATTTCAATCAAACAAAGTTCGGTATACTTTCAAGGGTACACAGGCAGAGAAAGGCTATAATACCGATATATCCTTACAGATTTTAAAAGGAACTGCATACCAGGAATATGATTCAGTATCCAAAAACTCATAACAATTTTATAGCATTTCTAAGTTATGTAAAGCAAAAGTGTATTTTAATCAGTACAATGGACTAGAAAACTCGTCCAGCACCACTCAATCAGGCGATTAGGTATATGGGGAAGGTTGATTGAATCCAAGAGCTTTACTCTGGTATACATTTTAATATGCTGTCAATTCCTATTTGTTTTTCACTTATCACAGAACTTTTAAGTGGATTGTACTAATCAATTAGGAAAGTGGTTAGGCGTATATAAAAGCCAACACCCAACAGTTAACTAGTCGCCTTTAAAATGTCCTTTGGAAAACACTTCGTTTGCGCTTGCATATCATATATGCTGGCACTTTGTGGAATAATAGGATTCTACATTGACTCTCGATCGGGGAAATTAATAAAATCGCGTTTCTTGTGCTATTATTGTGGAGTTTATACCGTTCTGGTTTTATTCGCTACACCTTATATGATATATATGCAATCGACGACATTACCGATTATTCTCACACAACATAAGTTTATGACTTTCTTCCTCGTCACTTTTCCTGTAACCCAGGTGCTTATACTCGGAAGTTGTATTTTCTCTGCACAACGCTGGCAGCACAGGATATTTCGAATGTATGAGAATCTGTGGAAAATGGAGCAGCTGGAAATCCCAAACATCTACAGAAACACATCAGAGATTCCAAGCTTACGTCGGCTTTTATGGATCAGATTATCGCTACTAGTGTCTAAATCTATATTTCTTTGGATATGGATGTCTATTAGTGAAATAGGACTTTTATATAATGCGTGCATTGTTCTCTTAGTGACAATGAGGAATGCATTTTATATGCTACTCTTTTGCCTTATCTGGTACATTTGCTACAACTTCATGAAACTGCAGCTTGCTTTAGATCACGTATTTCGTTATAAAATGCAAAGATCAAAACGTTTGCAGCAAATGCAAAAATTGCATCGGATGTTTTATCAACTCATACGTATGATGAATGAGATCTGCAATATTTTCAAGTATCCGCTGACTTTTCTTATATTGCACCAAATTTATATAAATTTAATACAAGGAGTCTTAACAATTCAGTCAATGTTTGGAAATAATAATACATATTTGGGATATTACGGCAATTTAATGACCCTAATTATAACACTTATTGAGGTATCAGAATTCTGTTTGCTCGGCAGTATCGCTGAAAGAGTTGGTAAACTTAATGAAAGTACACTAAACATTTTGCGATACCCTTACCCGAGTGGGGCTCAACTGGAACGAAGTGTGAGTGTAACAGAATGAATAAGTTTTATATTACTCATTTGTACTCTCTTTCAGAATGAATGGTTTGCTCTGCAGCTAAAATTGCAAAAGATGAATCTCCGTGCTGTTGGAGGTCTAATCATTAATCTTCAGTTTGTTTTTGTATTTTTAATTAACATCCTACTTCATATTATATACATGGTACAAAGCGACTACAAAATGTTACGAATAAAGAAAGTTGTGTGAAACAGAAAACTTATTTGATTGAATTTGCCATCAAACCAACAGAGCGTTCTGTGCTCTAATCTGGCCAACCAGTGATTTAGCTGGTTTTGATTCTAGTTAGTTGCCCAAAAGCTTCAGAGTTATTAGGAATAGATTATGTTAATTAGGTTTTTATATTTTCACAGTAAGTCACGAAAATATATTGCTGGTAGCTGTGATAACACAGGAATCAGAGTATAAGGGCTGAATCTAGAACTAGAATGCTATCTAAAATATATAGATGCTTATAGTTTATATAACTAATACGTATGTCCATCTAAGATTGAGCAATTCCATGGCATCGATTTGCACCATGAGGATTCGTTGTAGCTGCCGTTGAACGATAGCTTCTCCATTGAAGCCATAAATGTGGCC